ATCGGCCAATAAAGATAGCCGAAAATAACGTGCTGTGCAACGCGTCTGTGTCTCTACACGCGTCCACCCGAACCGGTCTGATCTATGATTATGGATCCCCGCGAGGTCGATGCGGCAAACTTGTATCTTTTGACGATCGCGCGAAATGTCTGCTCTGCCTTCTGCATAGCCCCGGATAGAAAAATCATATAAACCGTATATGATTTTGCACGATACATTACTGTTTTTTTTTTTTTTTTTTTTTTATTTCCTTACTTTGAATCCTCAATTGTTATAGTTATACCAAAAATAAGGAAAATACTAGAAAAGCAAATTGTGCGAAAATAAATTATATATTTCTTTTATGACAAATAATGTATAACGTAATAATTTATCTGCGCGAAAATTAAATTAAATTTAATAATTGGTTTGATTTAATAGTGAATAGTTGAGAAAACGATAATTCAAGATAGAGTTACATATTTTGAATAAGAAAGTATGTGTAATAATATACTTATATATACATAGTCTACATTTTAAATATCCAAAATAAATATTTCGTACGTATAATTTAAGAGTATAGAGTGTATAACTTATGTAATATTTAATATACATATATAATTTTTGATTTGTGATATTATATATATAATCTAGCTAATCCACATGTAATATATAAAAAAGCAAAGATTATTTTTTACTTGGTTATCTTAGATTACATATGTAATGATAGTTTACATGTAATGATAATGTCCTTGTTTACTCATTACAAATACTTAAATCGAGAGAGGAAACTTGTCATGATACACGTGGCATAATAGGAGTTACGAGGATATAAATAATGCACGTCAACGAGATCTATCAGATTACTACATTGCGAAAGAAACTATAAATACCGCGTGGATTAATATATACAATGTCCTATCAAGAAATATCAATGTTTTAAGAGGAAATGATAATAACAGCTCTATCTCGGTTTAATCTAGAATAGATATAAATCTTTTGAAATGCGCATTATTAATGAATATTTTTTTTTATCGAGAAAAAATTTGCTTTACAAGTCAGAATTTATCATTACAAAATTAATAAAGATCGAGATTTGTAGGATATCTTGTATACGAAAAATCAATTAATGACGCTTATCCCGTCTTATCTGCACGATTTATGACATCGATCTCTGATATTATACTGCCGATCCGATTTTTGCATTATATATTATCATAGTTACCACCACGGTATGGCTTGCGATGAAAGAGACGATGGACGAGAAGACGGCCGCGTATCCACTCGAGATGGACCATCTATACCCCTCCTCTACACTCGAAAAGCAGCCACGAAAATACCGCTTCCGGTTGCCCTAGATTCCCGCAATTCACGGGTCCCTCTTTCTCTCGCTCTCTTTATTCTATCGTTACGGCATCATATGGGACGAGCGCGAATCTCGTTCAAAGCGCTCCAAATAATTGATGTATCCACAGGTCGCCCCTTCTTGTGTGTGTATCGTCGGGGAGATTCCGCGTCTCTCTTTTAAAATTCCATTAAAGAGTGCAGTGGTGTTTTTTTTTTTTTTTTTGTTCCTCGACTTATTGTTTCGCTTGTCGCTTATTGGCCGCGAGAAGGACCGGTTTGTCCTTCTTGTTCTTCTTCTTCATCTTGTTTATCTGCTCCTCTCAATCATTCATTTATGAATTTTATAACGCGATGTATTTTAGTCGATTGCGATAGGATCGATATTTGGAGGGAGGGGGGAGGTGAAGGGCCCTAATCCTATCTACGTGCGCGGGCTGTTTATGTCGAAGTCACTCGCTCTTAGCAGCGCGACGTAATTTTAGACAGTACCCGCAGTGACAGTCCTTATAACGCACGTGAAGTATGAACCACTTCCGGTGGATCTACGTCATCCGGCATGTCCCCTTGCACTCGCACTCCAGTGTGGCTCCGATTCTAAATCTAGACAAGCAAATCTCGTGGCCTTTAGCCCCGCATCTCGCGCGACGCGTGTCGCGCCGATAAAAATCTGCTCTTGTCGCATCGTGACGCAATGTTGCAAAACACATTGTTCGTGTTCGCCGTTGATCAGAATCACGCGAAAATAAATTATTTGATGTTAAATTATTTATTTTTATTTGTTTTACATTGTGTCTTATGCAAATATGATGCTCTCTCTCTCTCGTATGTTCTCTTCAGATTCTGTATCAGATTGATGATGTACGATAGATAATCGGTCGAAGAGCGATTATAGTGGTAGGTAGGTATGTTTCGGTAATTGCGTGGCTAAGTTTAGGCGGTGCAGTTGGCGTCAATGCGAGGATGCATATTCAGAACGGAGCTCCTCATATTCTTATGCTCACTTACTAAACCGCCGCATCGCGTGTGGATGTAAATGTGAATGGAACTTGCTGGCACCCCGCCTGTTTATATTTAGCCACTGTGGGCGGTATAGCTGTCACGGATACGTATCATCGGCATAACTGAACTGTGCAAATGAATAATGAAGTTCCAGTCGCCCTTTCTCCCTCTTTCTCTCTCTCTCTCTCTCTCTCTCTCTTTCTTCTTCTATCCCGCTTCTATGCCGCCTATTATAGGTGCCGTGAACCGAGGACGTTACCCGAATTGGCATTACCCGGTCGCGTCTCATTGTCTCTCACATCAGTGGACAATCTCTTCACGCCACCAAAGCGAACGCGACACATGTGGTCTCAATGAACGCACATGCGTGTACGCTCGCAGGAACATAAACGCACAGTTCGGCAGCCTTTGAGCGGGCTTCGCCGTACCGACGCATCGTAAAAGATTGTAACGTCAACGAATACAGAGAATGGAGAATAGTCATACGATACTCTTAATCCTATAATGACTGCCCTGTTAGTTCCGTGCGGTTTAATGCGACATTAAAACAACATATATACTTGATTCTTTATATTTTTATACGTCAAATGTAATTTTTATAAATTATTAAAAGGAGAAGCGTATGTCTTAGTATAATCAACATTAACAATATAGATACATCTAATATAAATACGCATCGTAATTAATTTCTATTAAAATGTAATTTTGTGATAAAACAGAATTCTCTTCTTTTTGTAATTTCTCGATATATCTCTTGTTCCTCTTTAGATCATAATTTTCATTATAACGTAAAGAAAGAAAAATTAATTTTTAAATTAATCTCGAATAGCATTAGACATTGCTGTACGTTATCTATGCAGTTTCTAATATAACTGAAAAGCGTATTGCATTGTAATCATTTCGCGCGTCAATATCTATTAGAAGATACTGCTTATATATCTATATTCTTTTTCTTATGCTATCGTGTTTAACAATCCGCAAAGGCCAATAAGAAGTATCCGGCAATGGAAAATTGACGCGGAAGATCATGCTTATCATCGCGCGTGCAACGCTGCATGTTTTGCACGGATTTTTATGTCGCACAAACTTACCCTGCAGTTTTTATTCTCGCCACAACTATTTATAAATCGAGTGATTTTTTATGCCGATTCCACGTCTCGATAATAAAACCCCGAGAGTCGTCTCGATTGCAAATCATTTTCCGCGATCCATCGGATGTCGTGAAATTAATAATCGCGGAGAAGGGCGACACGGACGCATCCAGCGTCGCGCGCGCGTGTGACGTCTCAGCTGGTGCACAGGCTGGATGAATAAACGTCTTCCTTATCGTCTAAAATAAACTGCACGTATCTGGATCGTAGCCAGGATGTAGGAAAGTACAATGATATTCGTCGCGTAAATTGTTGCGTTCCTATGGAGAGTAGATTGGACATATTCGCCCATCTAAATCCGTAAGCGGCTTTATTTTACCAAATAAAAAATCATGCTTTAATTCACTATTAATATATAATATATATGCATCGAAACATTCTTGCTGACGATGTATTTGACCGTGATCTGTTCGATTGCGTGTTGTTGTTGCAGCAGACATACGTAATTAGGTTTTTAATATATTATTGATATGTTCACGAGACTTAACATTGTGATATACATATAATATCATATTTAATATCAATAATCTCATATTTAAGACAGCGTTAATAATTTAAGAGATTTGCAAGTACTAAAATAGATATATACATACACACACACACACACATATATATATATATATATATTACGTTTATATACGAGTACCTATGAAAATATGATAGTAATAAAAATTGAAACAAAAATTTTTTAACAAATACTTAATACTAACTAAATACATGAAATAATTGTAATATTTGTTAAGCACCGATTCTCTCTACAATCCACATTATTATAATATCGATAAAAAATTCAAACGCAATGCAACAATATTTTCTTTTTTATCTAATTCAAATAAAAGAAATGAAGCTTATATAAGCTTAGCACAAATAACACTATACATATGATTATAATTTAGCTAAGTTTATATAAATATTAGTAAAAATTAAAAGATAATCTTCTCTGGTGTAACTATTAAGTACTTTCAACTGAAACGTAGACTGACAATGAGACTTCTAGGGAACAACAATCTTAGTCCGCATGTTTACATATTTAATATTTATCAAAATAATTATTGTGCGTTTATGCATTACATTTAAACAATAAACTACTCATCTACAATATTTCTGGATACGCCAAGTTGTTGAGAAATAGTTTCCTCTCACTGCACAATCTGCTCAATTGAAATATCTCTATATTAATACATCGAAAAAATAAATTTTATTCTAGAAACTACATATAATATGGTTTGCATACATTCGATCGAAATATAAAAAAAATGAAACGTATGAGAATTTGAAAAGATCCTTACGACGCATCGAGTTAGCGACATAAAGTGACAAACATACGTCGCATAATTTGTTCCATGCGTCCATTGTCCCGGCAATAGATCCGATGTATTTAATTCGCGCGGACAGACCAGTCGGACTGTCTATCCTCCGTAATAGTTTCGCGAATTTTCGCTATCGTGTTCCTTATTATAAGAGCCGATGCACAGTAGAGTACAGCGTTCCTTTAATTAGTGGTCCGTGTGTCTGTCTTTACAGTCGTATCCCGCTCACATGACGGTCGACTCGCAGAAGCAAATCGAGATGCAGCGGCTGCAAACGGAGCACTTGAAGCGACAGCAAGATCACATCATGCAGCACAACATCCAGGAGTTGCAGGCTCAGATGACAAAGAGCCAGCTGAGCATGTCGGGACCGCAATCGTTGATGTTCCTGCCGTTTCTCGAGCAGCTCAGAGGGCTGCCTGTGCAGTCACCCATGCCTCCGCCGCCAGCAACGTCGACCGCCACCACCGGCAACAAGCACATCAACTCTATTGCCAATGTATGTGACCCGGTGATCGTCGCAATTTTGATTGACCAGTTCCGTATACGTATAACTAGTATTTTATAAAACTACAATATCACATTTTATTTTCGCGACATCGGTCATTTTCAATGTATCTATACGTTTCGGTAAAAAATATGGGGAGAGAATCTCATTTAATTAAAAGAATTTTAAGTCTGATCTTCCCAAAATATGCTCTTGACATTATAATATTCCGACGATATAATAACGATTCGTTAAATGTTATTATGATGTTAAAGACTTTTGTTTCGTTCACAGATGATTAGCAGTCATCGGGAAGGTCCGAGCTGGGCGACCGCGCATCTCGCACAGATGACTACGCAAATGGAGAAGGAATCGCCATCACCGGCGCCGACCTCATCCGCTGTAGCGCCAACGGCCCCGCCACTTCAGGATCTCGATGCACCGTTGAACCTCACCAAACCCAAGTCCACATCCTCAGGCGCCACAGCATCCTCATCGCCCGGCAGTGATTCGCACTCGACAGGTGCCGGAAGTAGCGGCCAGCAGGAGCAGCCGTTGGCGGCCACCGCGCCAAAGCTCTTCCCGCCAGGATTACCGATACCGCGGAATTATCTGCCGACGCTTCCTTACGCCGGTCTGCCGCCGCATCTCAGCACACTATCTTCGCCAAGTAAATGATACATTTATGATCGTTCGCTTTAATCATTAGCGAAAGGGAAATCATAAGCCGGAATTGTTTCCACTGTTAAGCTGCGATGAAAATCGGATATCGTCGTCGAAACGACACGGATATTTCGTGAAATTATTGCTATTTACAACGATTAAATATCTTTAGACATTGCGAGATCTTGTAATGCTACGCCTTCGGAAGTATGTTTGATATTCTCTTCTAATTAAATGTTATCGCTGTTCCGCTAAGCCGGATATGCAACGCGTTCATCCCGCGGAACAAATGCAAATTAGCGGTTACCGTAAATGGATTTCAAGAAAAAAAAAAACACGGTCCATACGCCCCGGAATATTTGCTACGGTTACATGACGGTGGTGACACTTAATCAATTTCGAGCAGACCAGCTGGTTTTCCCGATTGTCCGCGGCCAGAGTTTTTTCCTCGTCGCTCGTTTCGGAGAACCTGTTTCACTTGGCATCTGGTTTTTGTATGAATACCATAATCAACGACGCGTAACGCGGTTCTTCCCGATAAGACCGCGCGACAAGATTTGCACAAGCGAGGAAGGAAAGAAAATCATCAGGATCTTTAGGTCGTCATTGTAACGTCGAGAGCGAATCTCTTCGTGCGTATCAATCGCAGCGCGCCACTTCATCCACGATATATACATGGGATGCTGAAAAACACGGATGAACTTTAGGATTGTATTCAGAAATGTCAAAGAGGTTTTTCACAGACGTTATAGTTCCAAAAACAATTTTTATATTACAAATAATTGAAAATAATAAATTTTTACTTATTCTTTAATCTCAAAAGTGGACTTGAAAAAATTTTTTAAGTCTTAACGTTTTTAATTGATATTCAACATTAAAACTTAAGAAGATGTTTAAAAAAATAGCGTCAAATAAAATTATCACCGAACACGAAATCGACCTTAAATCTCATCGAATATACAAAATCCGAGTATCGTATAGTTTCTCAACATCTTGCACGTCTCAAAAGACCGTAACTTCTCCGATTGTGTCTTCATTGCCCATCTTTCACCTCGTTCCTTCGATGACCCGTTACAGTGGGCAAAGTAATGGCCAAAGACGAGACCGGCGGAGCGGGTGGATCCGTGGCCGCCGCTGCGGTTGCGGCCGTGGAAAAGCACTTTGCGATGCACGGGCTCTACGGATTACCGCCAAATGCAGGTGCGATGCCACCGTCGACCCAGACTCAAAGACCGATCAAACATTCTGGTTCTCGGGAGGAGACGCCCCAGGAGGAGCAGGACTTTCTCTCGACGCCTCACAGTAAGTGAATATATTAGGATGAAGGAGCGTCACGTTAGTCGAATGTGCATTATAAAAAAGATTGTTTAATTTTAATATATAATATATCGAATTTTAGACATAAATTTTCTTTGACAAGTATACATATATATATATATA